TTGCCAGAGGGCTGGTAGCGGGTGCAGGCGGTGCCGTCCCAGGCGCAGTAGGGATCCCTGGCCAGGCAGCATTCGGCACAAGCCGTGCCGTAGCTCTCGCACCGGTGCAGCCGTACCTGGGCCACCCCCAGGCTGGAGCCCACATAGAGCATTTGCTGGGGGAACGGCATCACGATGGTGATGTTGGCAGCCCCCACAGCACAGCACCCCCGAGGCAAATGCCATAAGGGCTTTGAGAGGCTGGTGACAACAGCTCAGCCCCTCCTGGTCACCTGCCCTGTCCCCAGCCCCACGGCCAAGCCGTGTCCACACTGACGGAGATCTCCATCTGGGTGATGGGCATAGGTGCCTGCAGGGGAGAGGAGCCCATGTGAGGCTGGCAAAAACCTTGCCACAGAGAGCACCATTCATTCAGAGCTACCAGGGCTTGAGGGGGGCACTGGGAATGTTTTGGGGAGGGTCAAAACACCCCCAGCCATCCTCTGGCCTTGCAGCCTTGTGACCTCCCAGTGCCCAATGGTGCAGTGACGGGCCTGAGTCTCCATCCCCACGTTTGTCCCCAACCTAAGCCCACCTCACTGCCCCCCTCTCTTGCAAGCCAGGCAGCAAGCCAGGCAGTAAATGGCACCTTAAAAACCTGCAGCTCCTCCAGGATGACTTCCTCAGTCGTAGCCGAGCTTGTCTTCTGCAGGACCACTACCTTCAGCACTGAGCCAGCATCTGTGGGGAGGAGGAAGAGGACAGAGGTGTGAGCATCTTGGCATCACACCCCAGCACCGGGGCTCCTTCCTGCTCACCACTCCTGCTGCTCACCTGACCCGAGGAAGAGGACATCGTGCTGCCCGTCCTCAGCCTCCACCCGGTCCACCACAAGTTGGCGCAGGTGGTGGGGCAGGTCAGTCTTCACTAGGAGTGGCCGGCGGTGCCGGGGGTACACGGGCTTGTACATGAGGGGGTGAGCGCGGGCGAAGCGCAGCACCTCGTCGGGGAAGTCCTTGGTGGTGCCGTACTGCCGCCGGGGCTGGTTGGTGGTCTTGCTGGGACACTGCAGGGACGAGAGGGGGCCAGTTCAGACCAGCCACCCCAGCACCCACCCCTCCTTCCCCCTCCACCGCTCCACAGAGACCTCAAACTATTGGGTCTCTCCGCGCCTGCCAATTTGGGACCCATCTTCTCCACTCCTCTGCTAGACCTTGGTTCCCAGCTGTCCCAGGGTGGATCCCATGGGCAGCCCATCTCAGCAGGTGAGAAGATGGAGGATCAGCCCCATCACTCCCCTGGAAGAGCAACCAAAGGAGCAAGGGGGGTCCAGAGCTCCATGCAGTTGCTCACCACGCCTGGCCGTGGGTAGGGCACCCTGCCCTCGTAGGCACCCCACTGGTGGTGGGGGCTCTCCCGGTGGGCGAAGGGCCCATTGAAGACCTCCCGGATGTCGGCCATGTGGTACACACAGACAGCGGAGCCCTGGAAGACATGGCTGAAAGGGAATGGTGAGTGGGGTGAGCAGAGCCGTGCTTGGCACTGGCAACAAAGGTTGGGGGCATGGGAGAACTGGCATCTCTGTACAGACCAGGGCAGAGCTGGCACAGGTGGGGGAGCAGCCAACAGCCACAGGGTGACAGCGATGGGCCTGATCACGGGTGGCTGCAGCTGGATGTCCCCAAAGGCTGGAGCTGGACCACCCACCTGATGGTGCTGAAGAGGGCGTAGATCTCTGGACTCTTCCCATCCTTCGTCCTCAACAAGAAGACATCCTCTGGGGATGAAACCATAAGGTTTCTACAGGAAGCCATGGGGCTTCACAAAGCTACCCACTAAGGGACCAGCCTTGCTGAGGTCCCCAGCTCCATGCATCCCTTACCCAGCTCATCGAAGTGGGTGTCGATGCCACCGGGGCCAGGGACAGAGCACACCAGACGGGCTTTGTTGAAGGTACTCCACTTGTTGACCAGTACCCTCTGGCCACCAGCATCATTCTGCAGGGACAGGGAGCATAAGGGCCACCCCTGTGCTTGGTGCACCCCTGTCACCTGCAGTCCCCACCAGCATCTTACCACACAGACCCGTGCCACCCGGCTGATGATGACAGGCTCCTTGCTGCCTGCCTCCACCACCTTCTCCGTGAAGAAGAAATAGGCTTTGTTGTTGTCCCGGTCATCATTGTCCGGGATCAAGTAGACTGCCACAAATTTGGGTTCTATGAGAAAGACCCAGCCATGTCAGGTGGGGTGAGAGGGCACAGCCATCACCTCCAGACCCTCACACCGTGCTGGGGCTGGATGATGGCCAGGAGAAGCCCCAGACCCTGCTGCACCGCTCCTTTCCCTGCCCATGCCGCAGCACGGCCAGGAGATGCCCCAGCCTCTGGAAGGCGCATGGTCACAGATTCACAGAACGTTAGGGGTTGGAAGGGACCTCAAAAGATCACCTAGTCCAACCCCTAGTCGTCCCTGGCATTAGCCCGGCGGGGGAAGGAAGAGGGGCGGAGAGGGGCCGTTACCGTTGAGTAGGTGTTGGTCCACCTCGGTGCGCAAGGCGGAGCGGGCCCCCATGCTGCGGAAGATGCCGGGGTCACGGCCCAGGAAATCTGCGGTGAGGCCGGCGTACAGCTCCCCACCTGGCAAAAACACCCGGCCGCGGGGCTGAGCGCCGGCCCCAGCACCCCACGCGCGCTCCAG